AATCTACCTAGTACAAAACAACAAAACATAATAAATTTCCAATCCTATTTTGTCTTATTCGTTTGTTTTACTTTTAATCCATATATATATATATTTTAGATATTTTTATATTTCATTTCCAAATATTTTTTATTCTAACTTCAAAATTTTAAATAAAAATCTAAAATATCCMAATTAAACAAATTGAAATTTTGACTTTGAACGGATATTACAATTTTTTACTTTAAACTTGAATGAGTGTAGCAATTCTACTTTATAGGAATCAAAGTAAAAAATTCGAAGAATGRATTTTTCTTTGGTAACATAAGATTAAATTGTAGAAAGAATCATGTGGAGAAATTCTTTTTACCGATATTCCTGATTAGATATTTGGCAACAAGCATGCATGAACCATTTCACGAAGTATGGATGGAGGAAAATTGTACTGAATAGCAAAAATCTTTTACATATTTCAAAATATGTCACCTATTTTTTAAATTTTCACTTATTTCAATAATATATTAGTAGTATACTAATAATATATCAGACATTCATATTAGCAGTAGTATATCATTTGGGTAAAGCTATCATTTTAAAATTAGACATCCATTAAAATATATATATATATATATATATATATATATTTTTGCAACTTTCCTTTAATTAATATTTTTTATTAAATATTCTCTGATTGTGTTTTAGACTTTAGTAAGACCAACAAATGAAAATTTCAAAAAATAATAATAATAAATAAATAAATAACCGAAACCAAATAAGGGTTGAAAGTGGTGAATTTTTTAAGATTTATTCGATTATCTTATTGCAAGGATTTATGATATCCCAAAAAACAAAAAAACAAACAAACCAACCAACAATGTAGAGATATTATTTGCACTCAAAACTAAAAAATGCAAGTGAATATTTGTACTTTACCCTTCATAAGAAATAAACGATAAAAGGTTAAAAATAACTTTTAAAGTAACAATTTAGTTATTTAACTTTAATTTGTAACGATTTAATACACGTGATTTCTCTATTGTGACAATTTAGTCTTTATAGTTTAAAATTTATAATAATTTAATCAGGATTTAATAGAATTGACTATAGTTTAAAATTTATAATAATTTAATCAAGATTTAATAGAATTGTTTATATATGTAGATCGATAAAAGAATGAAGTGCTAAATGTGTTTATAAATTAGAAAGCCCAAGTTATTATATAATAAAAATCTAACACTTGATTTTGTTGAGATTTTTCGTGATGGAAATGAAATTGTCACAAATTTTAAATGATGAGAAATAAAGGGTTAAGTACTAAAAGTTCAAAGAATAAATTATTACAAAATTGAGAGTGGAGTGCAGATTAAATCACTACTTTCATTGAAGTATAGAGAACAAAATTATTTTTTAACCAAATAAAAACTATATTAAAAGTCCCCATTACAAATTCACTTTCGGCCTCTATTTCTGGCGCCAACAAAAATGACTGGAATTTGGCTACTTTGGGAATGAACTCAACATCATCAAAACTGAGCATATACATTATATATATATATATATATATATAAAATATCCAAGGCATCTGACTTGTGAATTGGGCATCAACTAGAAGCATTGTAAGAACTAATCATGCAAGTAGTCGTACACGACGAAATCGTTGTAGAGGAGGTTACCTTCTTTCGAGTAGTGAAGAAGGAAATAGCAGTCTTCACAGAAGTAGCACGGGTTCTCCTGCGCCCACTTATCGTCGAGGGTGACCTTTTTAGCCCGGTATATGTTGCACGCATCGCATTTCTGGACTCGGGTCCTTAGTTGAAACGTAAGGATTGGATAAGCAGCTCGATCGTGTACATCCTCAGGATGGATCAACCTCATATCTCTGATCACTATGGTATGCTTGCAATTTCCCTGTATATATATGACAATTTCTCCAGAGTCAATACAGTTGTTTTTTTTCTTTTTCTTTTTTGGGGGAAAGAAACAATGTGTCTAAGGAATCAACTAAGAGATTACGGATATCAAAAAGAAAAAAAATATATATCAACTAAGAGATTACTTTAATAACATTAGAACCATGGCTTTTACTTTAAATGAAAAGCCACACACGACACTGTAAGCTTTGGACAGTTGAGGTTAAGGGCCAATACAGAATATATCATCCATTCAAAACAAAATCATGTGCAACAGCCAAATAAGCAACATCTAGGTTTTTGTATCGAGTTCATATCACAGCATCATATATTAGCACACCATGTGCATGAGATTCAATAGGAAAGGCTAATAGTAGGGCGGGGCGCGGGCAGAGCTATAAATTTTTTCAAAAGTTGTTAGGTTTAAATTTTACTATACTCGCCATACTTTCAACTTTTGTCCATCTTACTCCTTGGACTTTCAAAACGTCCATCTTGCTTCTTGCATTAAAAGTGACCATTTTAGTCCATCTATTTTCTTTTTATCTCACTCCCTTCTACCAACATTAATATCCAACACTGTACTCAATAAATTTCTTAAAATATTTCTATAGCTTTCCATATAAAAGGATTTTTGTCATACATGGAATTTTTTTCAAACCTTTGCAAACATGATGGTCACTTTTCAAGTATAAGGACTAAAATGAGACATTTTGAAAGTATGGTGACCAAAATAGAAGTTTTAAAAGTACGGGACCAAAATAATATCTAAACCAACTTTTTATATATGATAAAATGAGGATCTTTACGGTTTCTTTTCTTCTTTTTTCTTTTTTCTTTTTTCATTTTTTGGGGAGGGAGTGATGAGGGTGCCATTAAATGATATATCCTACCAAAAACAAGGGTGTAATAGAAACAGAAAAATGCACCTGATGACAGTACAGATACCCGGCACCGAGCCTAAACTTCAGATCACAAAATCGTATCTTGTTCATGCTGACTGATCTAAAATGAGGCACATGAGAAACTGATACTTCCCCAGCAACTGTATTCTTCTGTTGCGATTCACCCATTATGATGCATTCCCATTTCTTACGAGCTTCATCCTCCGAGTTTCTAAGCCAATCAAATACGGGTTTGCTATAATCAACCGCAGAAGGATCCCTCAAATCATTACAGAATACATCCTGGATATAAACAAAACTGCATAAAATCTTTTGAAAACAAAATTCGGAAATACAGGGTTCACTGAATTTCTTACTTCTATGAGGAAATATCCAGATGAATCTTGCTGCCCAGCCTTTACCATTAACTTATCCGTCAAGCAATAAAGTTTGTCCTTCAGTTCTGCTAACGTTTGCCGTCCATGGGCCAAAAACTCTTGAGTCTGTAAATGATATATCAGTGATAGGGAAAATTTGCTATATTTGCAGATTATTTTGCCATGTAACAAATTTACAAATATGGCAACTAGTTTTGCCGCCTTCCCTAACATTTACTGCCTAAGAAATAATAAAAGAAGTTATTGCAGTTTCTCGACCAACATTTGACCAAGTCTCTATCAACGATGAGTATCAACGATTACTCATTCTTATCAGACCATATAAAATTGTCAAGTGAAAGAGAAGCAGCATACCTTCACCATCTTTCGAGATTTATGGTAAACCTCGATAAAAAGTACAGTCGTCGGATGCTGCAGAGCTTCATGATTCCCACTGCTTAGTGACTTTACCTAACATATAATCAATTCCAATAAGCAGGAGATACATGAAAATAAATGGCATTATCGAACAAGAATCACTGAATTACAAGGAAGGACCCAGTTCTGGAAATGCTTGGACTACACATTAAAGATTATGCATTCAGTAACATACAGGCTAACAGATGGCTTCATGGTAAGGCAGCAGAAATCAATAACATACAGGTTAACAGACGATCGACTATAAAGTTAATAATGTGTGCACCTCCATCTCCACTATTGTTTCAAAGTGAAAATCCCATCAAGTTAATAATGTGTGCACCCCTATCTCCACTATTGTTTCAAGGTGAAAATCCTATCAAGCAACCTATTATGGCCAGACAGAAAAGACTCCAAAAATGACCGATTGACCAGTTACAGTAATAAAAAAACGAAAGAGAATTCAGAGACACCCTACTTTAGGTACCTTTGCAGAAGAATTTGTAGATCTCAAGGACTTCAACCTTTCTTTTTTGTCTGACGATGAACTAGCAACTTCCTTCTTCCATCTGGCACATAAATACAAAGTATTACAAATCATAAGTTCTGACCGTATTATGCATCTCATGAAACGGTTTTCCTTTAAATCATTGTACAAACTTGAAAGAATGCAATTTCACTGCATCTCTGTCTTCATCCTGCTTTTGTTTAATTTTTGCAATTTCAGCCACCTTGGCAATAGAATTTCCCTGGAAAATATTGTAACGTAATTGGAAATCCAATATTTAAAAAAGAAATATTGAGGTTGATAGAGGAGTAAGGGTATTGAAAGTAATAATTAAGCTCAAGAATACAATGATTTTGCATAACGCATAGGCTTGGCATGTGTACAAGGGAACAGAGGGGACAATAATCCACATATTAGTGCCATAAATAAAATTATGGAGGTTAGAAAACAGGCTGTACACAAAAAACCGTGACAAAAAGTGAAAATGAATTCCAAGTCTTCATCAAGATGGAAAACCAAGTTTTCAATGAAAGAAAACAATACAAAAGGGCATAAAAAATACACCGAAAGAAGAGCCAAGCAACTAATTACACAAAGAAGCCCAAAAAGTGAATTCAAAGTCTCTGTGACCAGACCACCTATTTACTTATTTTAGACAACCTTGAGTATCCAAGAAAGCTTTGCACACTATGACTAATTCACAAGACAATCATTGTCCAACCTTAAAATTAGGCATCAAGTACTAATATGTATTCAATATCCCAAGGTGGCTTCTTGAATACTTACCTTTTTTCACTTGCTCCAATGACTATTAGGTCAACCTATGGTGATTTGTTCTAGGTTAAATTGGCACCATAGTTTGAGCTCATAACCTTGAAGGCACCTGAATTTATTATGTTCTTGACCACTTGACCAATTGACCAATGCATGGTAATTACCTAGACTTTGATATTTGTATGGAGCTGTTAACCAAGTCTCGTACAAATAGCTACAGCCAATATGTAAAATACATAATGCAAAGATTAGCAGCATACTTCAATATCAGAATTGTGCCTCTTTCTTCGTTTTGCAGCGGTGTTATTCCTACTTCTGTTTTCATTTGATGCAGGGGCAGCCTTAGCCTCCAAAGTACGCTCGTTAACTTCCTCTCCATCTGCTCTAAAAAAACCATTTTTCCCCAAAATAATTTAGTGAACTATTAACCAAAAACAGTATGAAGTATAGTGGACAAAAGGGCTCAAATTGAAAGTGAGTAATAGAAAAAAATATATATTCAAAACAGTAAACAATAAACATAAATCATGCTTATTTGCAAGCCTGAAACCAAGGTTTGGTTCACTATTTTCAAAAAATTACACGTATTAATAAATAAGAAGGAATATATTAAACATATCATTTGACCCCTTGGAACTGAAGAAGGGCTTCTTAATAATGAAAATTTAAACCTATTCATTTGGTCACTACTCTCCAAAAAGTATGCAAGGAAGCTAGCTTCTAAAACCACGGAGACTGTTTTTTGACATTTTAGCTCCATAGTACCATTTATGATTCACAGCAAGTCAAGATGGATTCTAGATATTGGCTTTTTGCTAATAAGAACAGAAACACACCAATATCTCTGGTTTGCATCATTTTAACTTCCTTGACCAAAATCCATGTGGAGAATAGGAACATGGTTTTTTTCTTCTTTACTACAAGGAAAATAACTATTACTGGAAGATCATAAAATAACTTCCAAACAATTTGCTCATCAATCTTTTGGGAAAGAAGAATATACAGCATAAAGTCTATCATCAATAAATTAACTAGGAGTGAATGTACAGAAATGAGTGATTGTTAATAGTCTTATGACCTTGCGTATACTGAAAATTGAAGCAGCGGGAAGGCAAGTCAATCCAAGTTCAAATAAAACACTTTTTAGAATTAAATTGAAATACAAAATATTAGTTTAAATCAAATACCTCACGATCCCTGCAGCCAAATTTTGTTCTGGAAGTTCTGGCAGGTTTTTAGCATTCTCACCACTCTGCATAAGTAAAGCAGTTGATGAAAATTAACCCAGTGTCTTTTTTTCTCTTTTCCTTTTTTTTTTCTCTCTAATAGAAATGAACTAGATGAGATGAGACACTCAGTTTGCAGACCTGAGATGAGTCCTCCAAAGCCATATTCAACAGCTGTTCTTCAGTAAACACCTTAAGCCCATCAACCCTGCAGAAAAGTGATTGCAACTTAACTAATCCAACATTCCAACTGTGGCAAAAACAACCAGAGGTCCAGAGCACATTCAAGAGAGAGAAATATATACATACGAAATTTCTTCATCACAAAGTTGAGATGAATCCAACTGCAACTCTGCCTCCAGACTCTGCAAATAATAAGGATTAGAAGCAGAAACAGAGGTGCATAGACATGTAAAAGTGGGGGTTGAATTTAAAAACAGAAACAGAAACATATTTATATGAGAACCTGAAGTTCCTGAAGAAGGGTAGACTCAAAGTGAGGGACCCTAGTGAGAGCACCAACCAAATTGGGTGCATATATAGGTCCACCCAAGGGGATTGAGAGGTCATCGCCATTGAGAGCCAAGTCCTGTGAAGCTCCACTCTCGTTTCTCGCCTCCATGGCTCTCCTCCTTCCAAATAGTTTTTACTTCGAGAAATTTGTTAGGTTCTTGGGTAGAAATAGCTTATTAGATGCTGGTTGAGCACCAACTTGGATATTTCATGGGCAGCCATGGATTCGGCGTTGAGGGCGCTGTGACAGTACGGTGATTAAAAGCATCTGACAGCCAATCCTACACCATTTTTGTCTGTAACTAAAATGCCTTTTTAGAAAATCAGAATTTTCAAAATGCTCACATACAAAACTATAGGTTAAATTATCCCCACTTTGAAAAATGTACAGAATTCCAGTTTCAAAACCTTTGATGAAAAGAAGACGACCCTTGAACGCTACTGCAGAAAGGAAAAACGGTTTCTCGTAAATTGAAAGAACGGGAAAATGGAAGAGGAAGAAAGTCATGCTACAGCAGATAGATAAAGATACCGTGGAGTTGAAAAGAGGTGGACGATGGGAAAACCTGTTGGGACGGCGGCGGGAGATGCTGAAAAGTGGACGACGTGGTGTGACGGCGGCGATGGACGGCGATGATCTGCTAGTAGCGGCACCAGCTAAAATCTAGAGGCCTCCATAGAGAAAGGATAGGGAAAGGAGGGAAGAAAAAGAGAAAGGGAATAAATCGTATCTGAGAATCACGATTTTGTTGTAACACTCTGGACAGTTTGAAACATAAGGTTGAAGTACTGAAATTATAATTTAATCACAGTCATTCATCTAATAAACTATAGTCTTAACTCCCTTTAAAAAAAACCTATAGTTTTAACTCAAAGTTTTTTTGTTATTTAAGTTCAAATCAATTCGAAGAAGCTAAAGGCCTATTTGTATGCCATCCAAATTTTGTTTATAGTTTTCTAAATTACTTGCACACCTATTTGACAAATTTGTTTTTGAAATTAGTTTTTACATCATTCCGAGAATCATGAAAACAACATTTTCAATACTTTTAAATTTTAAATTTGAAAAGGTATAATTTCATTAAAAAAATAATAATGAAAAAATATATTTGTTGACGACAAATTTTGGAGAAGTCCACGTGTCATTCAGAAGCATGCATCATCGAATGACCAATGAATTTGCAGCCTAAAAACTTGACGCTGGTGCGGTGTCCCATCTAATATACTTCAACAATTAAGTTAGTAACCAGAGTAGATACCTTAGAGGTTTGACAGATTTTTCACTTGCTTGGTAGAGATGCGGTTCGACCAGGAAAGGACGACGGTTATGAGCATACGAGCACGTTGGGTTGTACGAGAGAGGAGGACAGACGCCTCCAACAATAGGTGGGTGGCGCCTCCATCCGTCGGGTTGTTCCCCTGTAGTCGTAGGTCTCTGGATGTTGCCCTCGACGTCCTACCGATACAGCTCTAGTGGTAACACGCCCGTATGCAAGTGCAGCATACATTCTAACTGTCCATGATCCCGTGCATTGCTGCTCCAATTTCTCCTTCGACAATATCATCTCATATAATAAATTCATTTCACCTTAGTTAAAACTAAACAAGTAGAACATAATATATTATAAATAATATAATATTAATAAATTAATTAACAATATTTTAGATTCAACTAAATATTTAGTTAATTACTAATTACTTCTATTGTTTACAAATATATTATTAAATATACTTAGAATAAGTTTTCAAATTGAATTTATCTCACCGAAAAATACAGAATACWACCCTATTTTTATCGAAGTTATTCGAGTTGAGTTGACAACTTTGGACAGTCAACATTTTTTGAACGACTACTCTAATTTCTCCTGGAAAAGAAAAGTCCCACCCACCCAAATCAAAAAACTTTCCCACCAAATTTCCCGGATATTTAATTTATTAATTTCATCCCCCACCCTCACTTTTATTCAAATTTTAAATTTTTTTAAATTTATTTGGTTGAAATTTTAGCCTCACATCTAAAATAAATTATATTTCTATCTTATTTTGTCATCGATCCATTTATTGTCGGTTTTGGATAATGTTTGGAAAAAAATAAAATTTAATGCTATTTTGATCCATATATTTTCATTCATTTTTATAGAAAAATAGTCAAATTATATATAATTTTACTTTAATCTTCCTTTCTCTTCCACATTTTTGTTATTATCAAGTTAGATTATGTTAGGGGTATTAGTTCAATCGGTTTTCAGCAAAATAGGAAAAACTAAATTGACACAAAAAACAATTTGACTCGAATTGGGTCGGTTTACTAGTCGTCGCTAGATTTACAAAACACTGAGCTGGAGCCACTATGATTGCTGTTTTCACAAGTGTTCTGCTTGCTTTGGTCCCTAGAGATTCATTGCATGCCACCCTTGGGATTGTCGCCGCATGCCATTGCAATGATATGTCTCATACTACTGCTTCGTCTCATGCAGCTACTATATTTCATCTCATGTTTTTTAAAGTTGTTGTTGCCTCACCAGTAGAGAGAGGTGCACAAGATAGAGAAACCCTCGATTTGACAGGTTAAATTTGATCCAACTTGATTTAGTTTAATTATTGGATGAGGTTTAGACGTTATATTATTTTCTTTATTTAAAATATTAACTGATGTTTGTTAATTTGTAAAGATTTATGAAAGTGGTAGAATAGTAAAACAAACTTTTGAAATGAAAGTTATATTTTTTTTTAAATAAAAGGTAAAGTTGAAAGGCGATTTTTTTGTAATTTAGCCTACAGGAAACTTAATTGTGATAGGAAAAGGGAAAGCGTGATAGGAAAGAGAGAGGAGAGAGAAAATATTATATGATGAACGAAAAAATAATTTAAATTTATTTTCCAATCGCTGTCGTGTGGTATTTGAGTTGTTCATCCTGAGGAGGAAAACGAAAGAGAAATAAAAGAGGGGTGTTTCGCTTCGAAGAGAGGCATCTGTCTTTATTGTTCTTGTTCTCCCGTCAACGCTTGTTCTTCCACAATTCTCTTCGATCTTCGTCTCGATTGCGGTTTACGGCCATGGCCACCAGCGGAAACAAGAACATTAATGCCAAATTAGTGAGACTTTCCTCCTCTTTTCCCTTCTTCAAGTTTGATTTCTTTCTTCCGTCGAGATTTTTATGCCAAATCGCGATTTGGGTCTCTTTTATTTTCCTTTTCCGGAATTGGGTTTCGATTATTGTACTACTGCTTTTCTCCAATTCGATTTGGTCTGTCTGCTCTGTTAGGTTCGATTTGGGTATAAATTCTGATCTGGGTTTAGTTTTTGTTCGCAAAGAACTGGAGTTCTTTTGGGTTTGATCCTACCAAAATTCTGTGGCTACCGACACCGTTGTATTCTCTGCAGTATGTGTTGTTGGTTGTATTTCTTGCTTGCATTCTTTGTGCCTGATTATCGAGGGGCGAATCGCTTTCCATGTTATAATTCGGTTGTGATTTCAGCTAACTCTCTTTAATTTATGTAACAAAAGTTCAGTAGCATCGGTATCGAGCCCTTAGTTTCAGAAATTTACTTTTTAGATGGTATGGCTTTTTGTTTTTCGAGGTTTCAGTTTTTCTTCCCCTCTTTGTCCAACTTCGGAGGCTAAATCATTAAATCTTCTAGTAGCTCTTCTGGGTGATCTTTCTTATTCTAAAATCAATAAGCCTATTGGAGAATGTATGGTAGTTAGATTAAATTATCTCTTGGGTTTAATTGCTGTTACTGCAAGTTTGTAGTATTATGGAGCATACTCTGCTGACTGGTAACCATTTTCTGAACAACTTGATTGTAGTTTTGTTTATTGTCTTGTATTATCGTGCCGTAACCTTTAATATCCAACTGTCCAACTTCACTGGCAAGTAATGTCATACTTGGGGTCTGATGGGCTATGTTTAGTTTCACTTTCAATTATTTCACCAATAACCCATATTAAACCCAGTTGATTTTACTTTTCTTTTGTGCTTAGGTGCTTCTTGGTGACGTTGGTGCTGGGAAGTCAAGTTTAGTGTTGCGGTTTGTGAAAGGGCAGTTTGTAGAATTTCAGGTTCTTATTATTATTAATTCATTTGGCCTTGGGCTATTAAAATCCGAAGTGGCTTTTCCATCTTGACCATATGTCTGCTTTTTAATCGTTCAATTATGTAGGAATCAACCATTGGTGCTGCCTTTTTCTCTCAAACATTGGCTGTAAATGATGCTACTGTGAAATTTGAAATCTGGGATACAGCAGGGCAGGAGAGATACCATAGTTTGGCTCCAATGTACTATAGAGGTGCCGCTGCAGCTATAATTGTCTATGATATTACCAATCAAGTAAGTTGCATCTGAAACTCTTGTTGTGGTACTGGTTAGTACATATACTTTGACAATGAAAATTTCATTTTAAATCTATGGCACAACCCATTAGGTAGTTGCTGCGAATTATATCTGAAAAAAAAAGAATTATTATTTTTCAATGAATTAAGTACTGGTCATCTTATTTTTAGGAGTTATACTAAAATGAGTATAGAAATTTGCCAAGAGTTAAATGACTTTGCCTTTAGGTTGGGAAACTGCAAGAGAAGTGGTGAATTAAAGAACATAACAATTGTGAATTTGCTGTCAGATGTTATGGTGTTTTAAGCAAGTGGGGGAATATGTAATGTTATTAAGAGGTTTAGGGTTTATTAAATCATCTCAGAATGGTGCTTGGCATAGGAAACCATGATGGGTTGGTCTATGACCTTAAATGTATGCTACATATATCAATATATAGTGGGGAGCTAGGAGGAATGTTGTAAGAGCTCTTACCCTTCTAAAATGACAGCAATGCTCTAAAAATATCTCGTTTTGGTGTGGTTTATCCATTTTTTATACGACATTGTAATTGAAATGGAATGTTTGTTCCTTTTTTGTTTCATATTTAACTCTTTATTGGGTATCGTCTCTTTGATTGCAGGGTTCATTTGATCGGGCAAAAAAATGGGTTCAAGAACTCCAGGCACAAGGTAGTCGTTATTGTTGTTGTTACTGTTGGTGTCCGAAGTTTATATTGGAACAATTGGATTTGGCATTATGTTAAAGTTTGAGTCCGGTTTGATAATGATTTCGTTTTTAGTTTTATGGTTTTAAAAATTTTGCTGGCTTCTTCACTGTTTATTTGGAATATTTTTCGTGAATCTTTTAAAACACATATGAATTCTTAGCCAAATTTCAAAAACAAAAACAAAATTTTAAAAACTACTTATTTTAGTTTTCAAAATTCGGCTTAGATTCTAAAAACTTTTCAAAAAAGTAGATAACAAAATAAAAGAGTATATTGGTGGAAGTAGTGTTTATAAGTATAAATTTAAAAAACAGTAACAAAAACCAAAATGATTATTACACGGGCCTTGATAAGTGAAATTATTTTGGGTACTTGTCTATTTGAATTTCTTTTACCAATTGATCATGTTCCCTTGCATCAGGCAATCCAAATATGGTCATGGCTTTAGCTGGGAACAAATCAGATTTGTTGGATTCTAGGAAGGTTGCTGTAGAGGCAAGTACCTTACCTGTGGTTCTCTTTCTGTGGTATTGCTTTGTTGAACTGGGATGCATTTTTATACAAAAAAGAAGAATCTTTCTGTTATCAAAGATCATCTCTAGTTGGAACTTTGCGATTTTTCTTTGAAATGTCTATCGTGTATATTTCGTACAAAGGCACCGCAACAATTAGTTCAAGTGTTGCTCACGTAATTGATGTAATTGTGCATTCTACAGGATGCCCAAACATATGCGCAGGAGAATGGCCTTTTCTTCATGGAAACCTCTGCAAAAAGTGCTGCTAATGTCAATGACATCTT